GCAACAGTTTACTAGCAAATTGTCAAGAACGCCAAAACCTCTGTCACAGTCTACTAGTTCTACCAACAACTGATTTATCACATTCCATAATAATACTCATCAGTGGTCTATTGAAAATCTCTTTGTCGTACTAATTTTAAATATAGTTTGTTCATTACTATCTAGGCTGACAAAAAAATACTCACATGTTTTTAATAAACTCTTTTTTGTTGCCAAATCACTGAACGAGATCGTTACTGCCTAACTGGACGCTATTTGAACATTTCCTGTCAGGTAAATAAGATGTAGTGGTTGTCTTAAACCAGAAACACTTCTCATTCTATTATGACTGATGTGTCATAATATAATGAAACGTGACATTATTTTCTGTCGATTCTAGAAGTTCTCAATATGCTTGCACTTATTTGTTAAGTCTAGTTAGTGTTTACTAATTTCTTTTTGTTACTTTTTGCGTCATTATTCGCAATTTTCAAGTTTGCACTTGCATTATATTTGTTTTAATAGTGATAGTTATAGAAAGCGATTTTAAAATATTACATCAAAGAATGTACTATTGTTATAATTAAATGAAGCATTTAAATGATTTTAAATTGATTTAAATTTAATTTAACACTTCTTTCATATACAAAACACAACTTTGTAAATTAAATATATAATTAATTATTAATTAACCCGTTTATTTCCCCGTTGAACCTTTATCCAGCAGTTGAAAATAATTCAGTGCTCGACAACGAAGTTAACAAATTAAGATAATTCAATGAAAATTGATAACTTCAGGCGCAAAGTTTCCGGCAACATTGAAAATGTAAACAAAAATGTTTTGTCCCTTGACATAATTACATGCCAGTGGTGTATTCGCAAAGAAGTGAAATAATAGAAAAGTTAAGAAGAAGCAGTTATTTACTCTTTACTTATTATTAAGCCCATTACACCGACAAATCTTTCGAACCATTTGCGTCGAAAGTTTTAATGAATACGGCTTATATTTATCTTTAGCGTGAAGGATTTGGACGTTCGTATTAATTATTTCAGTGGGATATTTATTACATCTGTCAGTGAGGAGTCCGTTGTATGAACTTGAATGAAATAAACAAAGTGAGGAGAATCATGAACGCGTGGGCGAATATTAAATGAAGCAGTTTCTTAAGATCATTTTCAATACTATTTCCTCATCTGTTCATGTATCTCGTCTATCTGCATCTAAACTAGACACTGTAAAAAAACCGATCTTAGTGAAATCAATAAAGGTACGCAGTGAATCCATTTCGATCCAACCGTTTTGATAATTTTACTCATTTACGATAATATTTGAACTAAAACTGAGTACTTCCACTCAAATAAATAAATTTTCCAGATAAACTCGTATTTAGTACACCTGTACCTAAATCGGAGTAAATGTCCTCATTATTGAGTGACCCCACCTCATTCTATGGTTGTCGTGCGTTGTCGTTGTCTATTCCCATCGTCCCCATTAGGTCATTCATCTCGTGGCGTGGTGTATAGGGTGTAGTGCTGGACAAGTATCCGTTTATCCGGTTATTTTGTGACAATTATGTTTAAATGCAGTGGTTTGATTACAATAATTAAAAACAATAACTATTGAGTTCCGATTAATATTTGGTTAAATAAATGGATAGTTAGATTGACCTGTACTTACGTATCTGTAACATACATCATAGGTTATGGCAATCTATCCGTCCGATCTGTTAACCAATTCCTTTAATCGAGACCTAAAATATTGTCTCTAAAACAGATCTGTGTAGAAACCACTGTGGCAACTTAGTAGTTTAGGACTTTAATACAATGATATTTAAATTAAAATTTAAAGAGAGCATAAAAAAGTATGTGTAAAAAATTACTCAATAATAGTTAAAATTAGAGAAAGAGTCAAGTCTGCATTGGTGTTATATACTTAGAATGGAGTCAAAAGTCATTCACTTGATAGTTAGCAGAAACTCGGATTTGAGTAAAATTCACTCACTTCTGTTGCAATAGTTTCACTCATAAAATTTTAGTTATACTCATTCTACTAGAGTGAAAATTTCACTTAATAGGGTGTGGTCAGAAATTGATACATTATTGAGTGATTGTGAGTAAAATTGAATGAAACCTTTTTATAAATTTTCGCGTTCAGTAATGTACATTATTTGAAAAATATGTACTTAAAATTACAAATTTTGTCTATGTTACACCGTTGAGTGAGAAATTTCCTCACTCAGCGGTTACTCTCTACACATTTCTATAAATAGCGGAATAGTTGTGGGAGCTCATTATCACAGTTTGAAACACATCATTGAACACCTCTGGTAATTGGTACCGATTCACGATAAAACAAATGAGAATGACTTGGAAAATCTGTTCTTAGTGTATTAGAAACGGTTTCCAATAGTAACCGGAATGCGCATGCGTCTGACTGTTGGAAATCGCTTTGGATTGCTCTAGGAACAACGCTAATAAAACTCTACTGCCCTGTATCTTAAAAATGAAACGTTATGAACGTTATGAATATTGCAACAGCCTATATTCCTACATTTTAAAGTAGAAGTAGAATATTTGCATTGTCTTCATTGACAAATTTTAGCTTTCCTTTCTTACAACACATTTTAACTGAAATAAATTTACCGAAACATATCCAAATAGTTGTAAATTTAAATTTAAAATACTTTTTTTTTGGAGAAGCTAGGTAGTAAGTGTAACAAAACATGGAATTTAGTCCGATTTTTACAGCTAAAAACAACGCATTCGAGTTATAAATCACACAATTGAGATTCAGAGAAATGGATTTTGACATGTGTCAGTAACAACAACTAAAAAATTAAAACAAACTGGTTGTCAATTAACATATTAATCGGTAAATAAATAATGTATCTAATCATTAACTTTAATTAAAAATAAAAATAAATAAATGCATTAAAAATTTTTCGACCTTATGCTATTTAACGATATTATAGTTTTGTTTAGTAAATTCCTGATTGTTAGATGTATCAAAGTCAAGTCAATTACTGACTATGATTTTTAACCTACACTTATAAATATTTAAAATTTCATTTATTTTTTTATTGTTATCAACTTGATGCCATTTTCTCTGACACTCTGTATGCTTTCATAAAAGAAATACATTTTCATTAATTTATTTTACAGAAACTAATCTCACAGGTTATAAGTAAGTATATGTTACTGGTAAATTGGTCTCTCTATCTCTAGATCCAATTTTGACTGTTACAACATCATTGTTATTTCACACAACAACAGGCAAAGGGTGGCTATTTTATCTGCAACAACATTAGTGCCATTTGTGTTACTTGCGGCTACTTATCACTTAATTAATCGAAAACTTGTTGTTTGTTTATCTGAAAGCTCTTTGTTGCGTTGATATCATCAAGTCGAATAAATAAATAGCAATAAGCAATAGCAAAAGTAAAAAATGAAATAAAATCTAAGTATTTACTGCAATTTTCTATTTTATCCAAACTATAATGAAACTATTTGAACAGTATACATCAAAAACTGTTTTATAATTCACAGTTGTACAGAGTTACCCATAATTCTCATTTTATTGCCTTTACCCTCTTTGTTATTAAGACGTTTGAATGATATAAAATGTAGGCATATGCTAAAAGTCTTGTAGAATCAGAATACGCAGTCGAATACTGTGTATCTTTTGCAAAAAATAATGTAGGAATGCGTTAGAAACATTTCGGTAATAGTCATTCATTTGTGCGACTAATTATTTAAGTTACCAGCACTTATACACAAAAAAATAAACTTTTTTCCGACGGTTTACATGTGTCAATTTTTCCTTAAAAATCAAAATATCTCGGATACGGTCAATCCTAAGTAGGGAGTGTGCTATATGTTTTCAACTTAAAAATAAATGCTCTTTCCAAAAAAGCAATGAATATCACAATTCTAATTCATTTTTTCATTTCTTTTTGATGGGTTGCCCTCGCAATTACTTCAATAAAATTTGATTTCGCTTTATTTTTTTTGAAAATCCAATGATGTACTTAAAAAACCAGTTCATTCTCTTTGATATAGAGATTTTGGTTAATATTGTGTTGGTGAATTTTGATAGAAACAATATTGGACCTAAAACAGTTTCTTGTGGAACACCACTACATATTTCTAAAAAATTACTGAATTGATCAACAAATTTTATTTATTATTTACTTTTTTATTTACTTATTATGTAATAAATAACTTCTAATAATATTCACGTGCACAAAATTTAGCGTAAAACGATATCAAACGTGATTAAACAGTTTTCTGATATGTCCAATGTTAAGATTATAATTTTAGTACCACTTTTTTGTGGCAAGCTAAGCTCATTCATTGTTTTTGAATACTATCTGGCATTTATTAGGAAAGTTCTACAGTACCACATAATTTATATTATGCTAAATAATCTTAATGAAACATTTCCAAATAACGTCCATAATTAGCTTGACAGAAAAGTAAAGTTCTAAGTCATAAAGACTAGAATTCACGAACTTATAACCAACCGCAGCCTTCTAGACTGGGTAGGATTTCTCTTAAGGGAATTCCGCTTTAAACATTCGAATCCAAATAAACCGGCGCATTGTTAAGAAAACTTTCCCAGATATGTAGATAGCAATGCTTGTGGAATTGGAATATAATTTAAATCAGAAATCAAATACGGAGGCACCGGGCTCACGGCCTTCTCCTTCTTTTTGATAATTTTCGGGCCAGGAAAGCTGCCGTGAGATTCCCAAGAGAAAAAACCGGCATCCCGGGAAGCGCCTATTTCATGCAAACGATTTCTTGCAGCAGAGTTCCTACTTTGCATACATAAATCCTTCACGATTAGTTCGCTCACAATGGCGGTGGAATTGGGTTTAAGCGGGTTCATATAGATTAGGAAATATGTACGAGTAAAACAATGCTGTGTAGTATTAATTACTAATTAAGTACTACCTGAGCATGTCTTGATTCTTTTTATAATGTTAATAGAAACTTTTTAGTTCAATTGGTATAATAACATGGCAGTAGAGCATTCGAGGCTATTCGTATTTGAAGTCATCTATTTTGTTGTACAAAAAAATCCCAAGTATTATCTAGAATAAGAATCCGAATTTTCTATTCTAAAAAAACATTGCTAAATTCAGGGGAACAACAAACATACAGAAAGAACGAAAAATGACCCGTTTTTCGACATATTTTTCCCTGTAACATTGAAAGGAAGTCCTAAATAAAAAAAGTAACTCTTTATTTTTTATTTATTTGACGATTTTCTATAAAGTTACAAGAACTGCGAATCAAAAAAGTTTAATTTTGCATTAACAATGGATTAAAGTTAGTAGAAAATCATATGTATATTTGGAGCAATTGTTAAAATAAGTAAATATTTATAAATATTGATGATATTTTGTGAACAAATAGTAAAACATATGTCAATTCTATCTCTAGACCCAATTTTGACTGTCACAACATCATTGTTATTTCACACAACAGCAGGCAAAGCGTGGCTATTTTATCTGCAACAACATTAGTACCATTTGTGTTACTTGCGGCTACTTATCACTTAATTAATCAAAAACTTGTTGTTTGTTTATCTGAAAGATCTTTGCTGCTTTGATATCATATCAAGTCGAATAAATAAATAGCGATAAGTAAATATTAAAATGAAATAAAATATAAGTATTTACTGCAATTTTCTTATTTTATCCAAACTATAATGAAACTATTTGAACAGTATAGAATCTGTTTTATTATTCACAGTTGTACAGAGTTACTCATAATTCTCATTTTATTGCCTTTACCATCTTTGATATTAAGATGTTTGAATGACATATTGAAATTTTGTGAACAAATAGTAAAACATATGTCAATTCTACCCTAAAAATTTTGCAACGATCGATCGCGTGGTTTTCGATTGACAGGATTGTTAATTAAGAAAATTTCAAAAAGTTTATCGCGTACCGTGGGTTTAAATTAAGGTTTAGAAAGGGCACACAGTTTTTAGAGTTATTTGGTGTCACAATAAACAATGATTAATACTAAAAATACCTATTTTTACACTTTTATAACCATTTAGAATATTTTTTTAATTTTTCAACATTTTACTCTATAAACAATTATTTTTTGCCCAGGAAATTTTCTATGCAATCGACAAAATCTTGCACACATAAAAACTACGTCGTCATGCCTTCCTTTTTAGCCAAGTACGGCAACATTCTACACTGTAGATTCTGAAATATATAACTATGACAACGAGTATCTCTAAAAAACTGTGTGCCCTTTCTAAACCTTAATTTGTTTTTTATAATTCCAATATTTTCCAGGTGTGAAGTTTCAATTGGAATGCTCTCTATAGTCCATTTTCGATAAGCATGTAGCGTCATTGCAAACTTATCGCAAATATGCCATAATATGAGATTTTGCTTGAGCTTCCTACTAATAGACCTCATAATTGTCTGCCAAGTTTGTTTTATATATTTTCTTAATTTTCAGTTAAATTATGGATTCTTATGAATATTAAACAACACATGCAAGTTTTATGAGACACTATTTCGTTTTCTGTTTATATTTAAATAGGTGCCAAACCCCATTGTAGCACGAACTACAATTTATATAAAAAATACTAACTGAAATTTTATATTTAAAATGTTTTATTTAACTTTTCTACAATTTTGTTAAACATTCACTTTATATTCTGCTATAGGATGTACAGTAGTTATGTTTAAATTTTACAAAATCTCAAAACTGCATAGATTTTCTACAAAAATGTATCTGTTTTTTGCTACCATGTAGAAAATTTTTTAAGTAGTTTCGTAAATACCTTGTGATTTTGAAGAAAATATGCAAATGTACCACAAATTATTACACATATGGATGTATAAATCTTATGAAAACAATAACTGCATTAATTAAAGTTCTAATAGGAACATAAAGTAGGAAAAAAATAATACAATCTTGTGTAATAATTGTTGATTTTTTTATATTGGCAGAAACTGTACTTAAGAATAATGAATATTATACATCTTTATTTGACTGAATATCGATTCTCTTGTTATAACAGATCATTCAGTTCATTATTTATTGTTTTTATATTCGGAGTTTCTATGTTTTTGTATTTATGATAATTCGAGTCTAATAATAATGCTATAGGATAATGATGTAAAATGTGTTTCTGTACTATAAGTACTTTATATAGGGTGACCAAATGAAAACGAAGCAGAGCCATTTTCAGGAACTGCGTCAAGATTGTAGAAAAACGATCAGACCTGTCGATTTTAGATTAAAGGGGGGCATTCTTTGCTGGTATTTTTGACTCCGCCACTTTCACCCCCAAGCAAGGGTAAGCATCACCCCAAAATATTTAAATGGCATTGGAGGTTGAGTAATATTTCTTTTGAAAGCTCTTACAATTCTCTTTACAACAGACTTTAAATTTTATAATTCCGCCCAATACTTATTAAGAATTTTGATTTTAAAGTTGAAACTTATGTACAAACAATTAGTAACGGTAAAAATGTCAGTCATTCGAGTTAAGTACGCCAATGGTATAAATTTAGTATTTCTTGCGTTACATTGGTTTTTGGCGATTTGTTATCACTTTCGTAAAAAAAAAAAACAATTGTAAAAAACAGAAATGAATGCTATACACACACAATGAACGTAAAATTAGTGGATTCCAAATTATTTTCTAGTATTATTTGGAAGCGTTGGTTGGTAGTTTATTTAATTGTGTTTTTGAAAATTAAACACTATGGTTTATTCCATTGCGGAAAGGGTAGATATCATTTCGCTTTACTTTATGAACAATAAATGTGCGAATAGAACAGCTCAGCTATTTAATGAACAACATCAAGATCGACATGTCAGGAGGAAGTATGTTCTAGAGTTAGTAAAAAAATTTCAAGAGACAGGGAACGTAGCCAATAAAAAACGAGAAATTGAAAAACCTATAGTTAATGAAGCTAGTGAAGTTGCAGTTTTGGGACAAGTTCATCTTGATCCTACATTAAGTACGAGGCAGCTGGCATCTGTGTCTGGGATCAATCGAACTAGCATACAAACCATTTTGAAGAAGAATAAATTCCATCCATACAAAATACATTTAGTCCAGGAACTTCATGAGGATGATTATGACCGCCGTTTGCAATTTTGCGAAATAATGAGTGAGCGAGCAGGGAACGATCCACAGTTCCTTTTTAACATCTGTTTTTCTGATGAATGCAGTTTTTTCTTGAACGGGACGGTAAATCGTCACAATTGCCGCTATTGGTCCGATTCAAACCCAAGAGTTTTTCACGAGGTGCATACACAGCAACCGGAAAAATTAAATGTATGGGCTGGAATTTTCGGTGACCGGCTGGTGGGTCCTTTTTTTCTACCTGGTAATTTGACTGGCCAAATGTATTTGCAATTACTGGAAGACGCTATTGACCCTGCCTTGACTGATATTATTGAAAATGTTCCAGAGTATGATGAAGATCATTTGATTTTTCAACAGGACGGTGCTCCTCCGCATTATGCGTTAATTGTCCGTCAGTATTTGGACCAACGTTTTCTACGGAATTGGATTGGGAGAAGAGGCAGCATTGAGTGGCCTCCACGATCACCGGATTTATCGCCCCTTGATTTCTTTTTGTGGGGATACCTAAAAAGTAAAATCTATAAAACACAGCCAGCGTCGCTGGAAGATTTGCGTCAAAGAATCGTCGACGAATGCCGTCGAATCACTCCGGAAATGCTTCGGAATGTGCGCGAACGTTTCGAACAAAATCTTTATTCTTGTATGGAAGCGGGCGGTCATCAGTTTGAACATTTAATCAACTAAGTAGTAAGTAAGCAACTAAACATAATTTAAATTTTAAAATGTAAATTTTTTTCAAAGTATTGGGCGGAATTATAAAATTTAAAGTCTGTTGTAAAGAGAATTGTAAGAGCTTTCAAAAGAAATATTACTCAACCCCCAATGCCATTTAAATATTTTGGGGTGATGCTTACCCTTGCTTGGGGGTGAAAGTGGCGGAGTCAAAAATACCAGCAAAGAATGTCCCCCTTTAATCTAAAATCGACGGGTCTGAGCGTTTTTCTACAATCTTGACGCAGTTCCTGAAAATGGCTCTGTTTCGTTTTCATTTGGCCACTCTGTATAAATTACAACACTTTCTGTGTCGATATTCCTTAATAGGATAGGATTTAAATTTGGCCAATTAATCTTTAAGCATCCCTACTTTTAAACTGGAAAACTTATTTGCTTAAAAATCTAAACTTTCTAAAATACAGAAGCGTACTTCCTAACACTTCACTTTACTCTACCATTACCAGTGTTTAATGGAAAGACTCCCTCTCACGTCCCGTTATCCATCTTTTGCAGGAAACGAGCTCCTTCGAGGTCCACTTGGCGCCGACGGGGCGCGAGCTGGTGCAGGCGCTGCGGGGCCTCCTCATGCAGGCGCACTGGCACACATTCACCGTGCTGGCGGACCAGGTCTCGGCCACGGCGCTGCGACGCCCCGAGCTGTGGGACGCTCTCGCCGCGGCGCCCCTACACCCCTCCCTGGTGAGCCTGCCGTCGCCGCTGCGGCCGCAGAATTTGTTCAGGTAAAAAATAACTGTTTGGCCCGATGCATGTTTAATGGGCGGCCGCTTGGGGATAGCGTCGGGGTCAGGGTTACAAAGGTTAATTAATATGGTGTGTCTAAATAACGGCCGCGAAAGCGGCACGGAAGGAAGGATAACGGGGCGAATTATTCTTGTTCGTGGATCCCCGCTATCGTTATCTGTATAAAACGGAAGAGTTATGTTCTCGGTACAAAAATTATTTTCAGCAATTTAGCTAGTTGTCATTTTGTCGCGGTATTTTGGTACCGTATAAACTCCTAATAATGGACACCCACGGGGATTCTTAAAATGTCCGAGATACACAGGCGGGCATTAATTAGAAGTATGGATAAATAACGAAAAAAAGACAAGTTTCATTTTATATAATACATAAATACATACAAAAAATTAAAATAAATAATAATTCACAGGCCGACAAAATAAAAAAATCGTCTGTTTTTGAGATGTGACACTTCCTATCTGTAGTAAAATTTTCCGTTGAATCCGAAAATGATAAAAAAAGTCTGGATCCCCCCGCCCCCACACACCCTCAATCCCCACCAAAAATTTAAAAAATCCAAACTAACCATCCAACCCATCTACCTTTAGTAAAATATGCCGCTGAATCCGAAAATGATAAAAAGAAAATTTTCTGGAGGTATGAATTCTCCCCTGCACACCCTCAATTCCCCCTCAAAAAATAAAAAAAGCCAAACTAGCCATCCAACACACCTATCTGTAGTAAAATTTTCCGCTGAATCCGAAAATGATAAAAAAAATTCTGACGGGTGGATTCCCCTCCAACACACCCTCCATTCTCCTCAAAAATTAAAATAAAAAATCGAAACTAGCCATCCAACCCACTTATCTTTACTAAAATTTTACGCTGAATTCGAAAATGATAAAAAGAAATATTTTTAGAGGTATGGATTTTCTCCTACACATCCTCAATTCCCTCCAAATAATTTAAAAAATTCAAACTAGCCATCTAACTCACCTATTTATAGTAATATTTCCCGCTGAATCCGAAAATGACAAAAAAAATTCTGGATTCTTAATTCCCACTAAAAATTTAAAAAATCCAAACTAGTCATTCAACCCACCTATCTTTAGTAAAATATGCCGCTGAATCCGAAAATGATAAGAAGAAAATTTTCTGGAGGTATGAATTCTCCCCTGCACACCCTCAATTCCCCCCCAAAAAATAAAAAAATCCAAACTAGCCATCAAACACACCCATCTGTAGTAAAATTTTCCGCTGAATCCGAAAATGATAAAAAAAATTCTGACTGGTGGATTCCCCTCCCACACACCCTCCATTCCCCTCAAAAATTAAAATAAAAAATCGAAACTAGCCATCCAATCCACTTATCTTTAGTAAAATTTTACGCTGAATTCGAAAATGATAAAAAGAAATATTTTTAGAGGTATGGATTTTCCCCTACACATCCTCAATTCCCTCCAAATAATTTAAAAAATTCAAACTAGCCATCTAACTCACCTATTTATAGTAATATTTCCCGCTGAATCCGAAAATGACAAAAAAAATTCTGGATTCTCAATTCCCACTAAAAATTTAAAAAATCCAAACTAGTCATTCAACCCACCTATCTTTAGTAAAATATGCCGCTGAATGCGAAAATGATAAAAAGAACAATTTCTGGAGGTATGGATTCTCCCTTACACACCCTCAATTCCCCCCTAAAGAATAAAAAAATCCAAACTAGCCATTCAATGCACCCATCTGTAGTAAAATTTTCCGCTGAATCCGAAAAAAAATAATTCTGACGGATGGATTCCCCTCCTACACACCCTCCATTCCCCTCAAAAATTGAAATAAAAAATCGAAATTAGCCATCCAACCCACTTATCTTTAGTAAAATTTTCCGCTGAATCCGAAAATGATAAAAAGAAATATTTCTGGAGGTATGGATTTACGCCTACACACCTTCAATTCCCCCGCCCCCCATAATTAAATAAATCCAAACTAACCATCCAACCCACTTATCTTCAGTAAAATTTTCCGCTAATTCCGAAAATGATAAAAAGAAATATTTCTGACTTACGGATTCTCCCCCACACATCCTCAGTTCCCCCCAAAAATTAAATAAAATCCAAACTGGTCATCCAACCTACCTATTTTAGTAAAATTCACCGAATCCAAAACTGGTAAAAAAATTGTTTGGACGTGAGGGATCTTCCCTACTCTTCCGTATTTTGAATTTTTGGGGGATATTGAGGGTGCATGGGGGAGAATCCATAGGTCAGAAATTTTTCTTTTAATCATTTTCGGATTCAGCGGAAAATTTTACTAAAGATGGATGGGTTGGATGGTGAGTTTGGATTTTTTTAATTTTTGAGGGGAATTGAGGGTGTGGGGGGAATCCACATGTCAGACAATTTGTTTATCATTTTCGGATTCAGCGGAAAATTTTACTAAAGATATGTAGGGTCGCATCTCAAAAACACACGATTTCTTTTTGTCGACCTGTGTTATCAAAATGCGTAAAAAATAAATATCATAAACTGATTATACGCATATATCTAAAAATACAGGCTGTTTCAAAACATGTGTCGGAAAAAGAAGGATGTGATTTTTTGGCCCATTCTAAAAAAAAAGTTCATATTAACATGGATCCGCAGACGCACCGTTTTGAAGATATATGGTGTCAAAAAAAAAACAAAAAAAATATTTTTTTTCAGTTTAAGGAGTATTTCTACTTTTTAGAGTGAAAAATCGACGTTTTTGTGATTTCTTTTTGGGAAACCTTTAAACATTTACATTCGTAGAGCGCGCTGAAGTTGACACCTCAAAATTGAAATGTCAAACGGTTGCATCTGTAGCTTCGCTCTAATTGTTCTAAAACACAAAAATCAAAAGCTGTTTTGTTAGAAATAAGTTCCTCTGTTTGGCAAATGTTTGCATTAGTCTAAATTTGAAAAAGAAAAAAATTGACAAAATGCACTTTTACGGCCAAAAATGAGTTGAGAAAAAGGGGAAAAAATAAAAATAAAAACTTAACTCTGACATTTGCCAAACGGCCAACACAATACCGATAATTTCCCATAATGTTTAGGTTAATTGATCAGTTAATTTTTTTGCATTAACTATGCAACCGTTTTGAAAAAGTGCATTTTGAGAAAAAAAAGTAATAATACATTATTGTTCTTAAATCTAAATTAGCGACATTAAAATTTGGAAAAAAATGGTAATGGTATATTATCTTCTATATTCACTCATATCAGTACCAAACAGATTAAATCCACATTTTGGGAAATAGTTCTTTTGCCGTTACAGGCGATAATATTTTCTAAGCCGTCGAAATCCATATTACTACAATGACTCTTGTATTTCTTTTCTCTATCATTTCCAATTACTCTTCTGTGTGTCGATTAATGCCAAAAGTCTTTCAACAAGCTTACTTCTCTAAATAACTTTAATATTTTATAGGCTAGCTACGCGACATTGTATTTGGAGGAAGGAAAATCAGTTTCACGTTTTCTGATGAAATATTCGGATGAGAAGCTGCAATATCGAGAAGTAAGATTACATTTCTCGTTTCCCTCTTCATCTTACTGTCAAAGTTTTTCAACCGAGTTGACAACATCCAAAGCCATCCGTGTTTTTTTTTATTGGAAACCTAATCTATTGGCAATTTATCCACATACGCTTCTTTAAAACATCTAGTCTTCTAACTTTTGCTAATAATAACGACTTTTTCATATCTCCTTCTATGCCTTTAAGCATAACAATACCGTTAGTCTTTGCAGATTTTTCTCCTGCATACATATCATTTCTTAATACAAGTGTGGCTGTAAGAAGTGCGCAGAAAAACAGACCTGTTTCATCGGCATTAAAAATATATTTTGGAACCCAGACCTTCAATACTGACTGCAATTCAGCTTTCCAGTCGTGAAGTTTTTTGAAAGTTCCGTTGGAAATATTGAAGTCAGTTAGCTGCTTGCATTGCCTTTTTGAGTAGAAATGTTTTTGTCTCGTACCTTACAAATAAATTAAGGACAGTTTCACCGAACATCACCTTATACTCGTAAATCTATTACTTATAAAAATAGCTAAAACAACTACGATATGATTCACTAGACTTTCCATTTAAGTGCAATGAAAATCACTGGAATGTAGATTAAATAAACCAAAAAGGTAATTGAAACTTCTAGATTTCCAGGTAAGACGGTTAATATGAATTTGCAAGAGTTTAAAAACTCTGTTCTGCATGGATCATCGTATACGAGTAAGCAAAATCAAGTCAATATAGGCTAGGACAATAAATTAATGTAATTTCTTTCTTACCTTCTACAATATATAGTTAATATATTCATTTTCTTTAATGTGATATAATGCGGAAAATTTTTTCTTCTCAATAAATTGACTTGAAGGCACAAGTTAAAATCAACTGGCTGGTTATTAATAAAAAGTGACGGATTGTCTCGAAACAGTTTTTTAACGTCTACACGTGTGGTATATTTACATGAAACCTACCAATATTAATCATTTGTGGAGTCCTTAGGTATATTTCCACTTCTTTATTCCAGGTTCTTCAACTGTGCTATTCACAATATATCGTTGGCATGTATTATTTAAGAAACTTCCAATCTTCCCTTTCATTGCCCAGTTTTATTTTATGTGCTTATTTCAAAGGAAGAAACAGGTTGGAATGTAACATATAGGATGCCTCAGAATGTTTGAATGTCGAAGTGAAGTTTTATTTTTTCAATCTTGTTTTTTTTTCTTCTCGTGGCAAAATTATCTTCCAAATATATTTCTGGTTGCTGACTTGTTGAGATAAACACTCTTTCTAATACAATATTAGGATTTCGTATCCCACTGCCCTACACTGTGAGAACTAATTAGTATACTTCTTGTTGCCCTGCTGGTGATTTAATCCAGGAACTAACTTTGGATCAATAATCTCTTCCGGGTGAAACATTCCAAAAAATATGTATCTTACAATCTCTTACGGATTATCTAACTGTCCCGAAAA